TATAATAGATCAGTATTGGTTCATTAATGGTAAAAAATTTACTATGTTAATGAAAGATGTTAATAATAGAAGAAAATAGATATGAGGTATATGAGTATTCTCTGTACCACCTTTGCAATTATTCTGTAAATGTAAAACTATTCTAAGCAATAAAATTTTTTTTAAAGAAAAAAAATTCAACCTTTCTACTGGACCCATTCCTCAAGTGGCTAGACCCCGACATCAGAGGGCCTTATTGAGTTTTCACTATCAGATGCACAAAAGATTTAGTTGGAATGTCAGAGCATAGAGCCTAGAACACACTCAGCAAAGGAAGCCTGGGGCTCATTCTGACACCTGACTGATAATCTAGAAGAAGCTCCTCAGTTAAGGTCACCATAGTGATCTTGTTTAAGGTGGACTTCTTAGATGATGATAGATTGGTGGTCATCCTAGATTCTTGGTGGTGATAAGTAAGCTTCACTTCTGGCATCTCTGAGGGGTGTACTTTTCTTGCCTAGACTTATTTATTCATAGGGGCTGCCCTTCCTAGTCACCAAATTCCTTTGAACTATTTTCAAGAAAAGACATGTGTCAGCAGATGAATTGTTTTAACTACTGTCTTAACTGTTCCCAATAACCTATCTGGATGAAGGGAGCAGAGATTCCTACAGATCCCAGCAGAACTTCTGGGCCTTTTACTCAAACTTACGCCTCCCTCAAATCATATCACTCTTTCATTGTCTTGCATAAATTCTAACTCACCCAGAAAATGTTTCACAACTCCTGTAGCCTAATCTGATATCTCCTTTCACTGAAAACTTATTGATTTATGGTCTTTGTTGGCTAAGTTCATTCACTTGTTCTAAAAATATTAAGCACCTACTGTACAGTATGATATTGGTATTGAGAATCACCAAGAGTAAGTCAGGTATAAATCTGTCTTGAAGCCACTTAGAGTGGTTAGAGGAGTAGTGGGGTACTCCATTGAGAAATGACCATGCAAGAGGTTAGCAGGGATAAGTACTATGAAATCTAAAATTTAAGTGCTGCAGGAATTAGTGGAGAGGAGTCTGTGATGGAGAAGCATCAGGAAAACTTTTACAGAAGAGAAACATTTTATTTTTATTTTATTTTTGTTAAATTTATTGGGGTGACATTGCTTAATAAAATTATATAGGTTTCAAGTGTACAATTCAATAATACATCATCTGTATATTGCATTGTGTGTTCACCATCCAAAGTCAAATCTCTTGTCACCATATATTTTAGTTGAGTTGTAAAGCAGGGGTCCCCAATCTTTTTGGCACCAGGGACCGCTCCTATGAGAATCTAATGCCTGGTGATCTCAGGTGGAACTGAGGTGGTGATGCTAGCACTGGGAAGTGGCTGCAAATACAGATGAAGCTTCATTCCCTCACCCATTGCTTGCCTCCTGCTGTGGGGCCCAGTTACTAACAGGCTACAGACTGGTACCAGTCTGTGTCCCAAGGGCTGGAGACCCCTGTTGTAAAGAATGTGGGCATTTGGAATTAGTGAGAGGATATTCCGGATAAACAGTTTGAATAAAGATAGGGAAGTACGAAATCAAAGAATGTGAAAACTTATAACTCAAGTTAAAGTGGACTTGAGAGGGTAATTGGAAGATAGTTTAATTATTCTTTAATTATTTAATATATGTGGGGAGTTGTTTTGCTCCCATTGATATCTCAATTCACATATTAATTATTGAATGAGTCTAAGTCTATAATTAGTCCCAGAGGGTGGTGACACAACAGGAATCATGAATTTCAGAGTTTTTAGGGACGTCAGGAGGCAATTTCTCACATGGAATCTTCTATGCATCATCTCCTAAAATTGACACTCACATAACATGGGAATCTAATTTGGATTCCGGTATTGAAGCTTCCATCAACTATGCCTGCGTGTCTGAAGCTGCTGTCTTACGTGCAAATATAAAATCAACTTTATAGTAAAGAGGATGTCAGCAGGGTCTAGAGGAGTCAGTTGCTGGCCAAGGGAACAGGGAATGGAAGAAGAAAGTCAGTGGCCATTGGGGTGGTTTCAAGGGACTGTCCAGACAGGACAAGATGACATTCATGACAAGAACTTTGCAAGATATCCTAAACTTGTATAATTTTTCTATATTTGTCATTATTTTTATGCACTATCTATAATTATCAGAAAAACTCTTAACACGAGAAGGACCCAGGTTCTTATTTTGAGAGAATAACAAGAAAGAGTGATGATTATAATGGTGGAGGGGAAGTTGCAGAAAGAGGCTGGGGGCGGGGGAAGCTGTAGCCTGCCATCAACTAGTTGAAGACCATGAGATACAGCATTGAAGAGGCATGGAAATCAGGCTGGTTTCCTTTGGGCAAAATGGGAACTCTTTATGAAAAATGGAAAGCAGAGGGCTGGGAGACAAACTATTGGTGCCTGAGAAGCACCTTTAGAAACTGCACTCATGAAAGACCTGTGGTTCTGTGATATTTGATGACAGATTTGGAAAAACTGAATAAGGCAGTTATATCAGAGGAAAGGCTATCACAGGATAGGTCAGGGAGGAGAGCCACACAGTGAATGGAGAAGCAGATGAAGTGAGGCAGGTGCTATTTGTAACCATGACCTACTTATCCAAAGAGCCTGCTTGTTCACAAGCTACTTATGACAAGTCCGTAAGCAAGAGACTGTGAGGTTTGCAAGGCACAGATACAAAGGATAGGGAATAGGTTTTCGGTCAGAAGAGTCGTCCAGAGCAGCTCCAGAGAGAACTGCAGAAAGACATGGATATTTTCATCCCCTGGTGGGTATTAGGAAGCACCCCTGGGGGACTTGGTTGGAAGAAGACATCTTGGACTGGTCAGGACAGTGAACACATTTCAGATATCCTTATACAAATCCTTTCTCTGATGGCCTCATAGTTCTTTGGGGGTTAGCAAGCATACAAAGGGATGACCCACCAACAGGTACTTTAAAAAAATTTAAAAACCAAACTTTTTGTATATATTTAGTATTCAGTCTAATCCATCAATTTCAACCCCAAAATGCTCCACCATAGTTTCCTCATCAGTAAAATGAGAGAGTAGATACTCTCCAAGATGTCAACCATCTTGGATCCTTCTTTGACTCAATGACGAAAAAGAGTATACTGAATATACTGCTATATGCACTGATAAGGCCACGATGTGGGTAGGAGTTATAGTCAAAATATTTAACAAGCACCAGACTGGTTCTCTGTACCAATGGATAATGGCTGAATATTACCCACGGGGAATGTAGGCCTCCCACCGTGACTCAGGGTTTATGTTATTGATGGGAAACTGACATTGTGTCTTGGATTTAAACTATTTCTCAATACTTAGAAATTTATCTTCATTATTCATATACATAAATACAGTTGCAGAAATCATAGCTTTTAATTATTATCATCTATGATGTTTTTAATTATACTTTAAAAAAACACTAAATATTTCCATGCACCAATAATGTAACCAAGCTACTATATTTTAAAAAAAAAATCAAAAAGACAGAAAAAAAGTCAAAAAAATTGGTTTACTAAGTAGAAGATAAATGTAATCTTAAAACATCCACGTTCTGCTAAAACATGCATACAAAGAATAAAACAGACTAAAAGCTTCAACGGGTGGATACCACATAAATTAATTTGGGCAAAAACTGGTAAGCAAGTTGGCTCTTTTGTTATAAGTAAATTTAAGAAAGTACAATGGAACAAATACTATTTCTTCATAGAGCAGTGAGGCAAATTAGGATCCACGTAGCACTCTAAACCTTTATTTAATCTGCTGAGTAGAAGCACCTTGAACTTGATGGAAACATGACAGAGAGGAGGAGCCATTGGGCTACTATTGCTGGCCTTTAAAGTCCTCTGTAATCGGGAAAAAACAGAACATTGAAAAATATATTTATTATTATAAAGTTAATCTGATTCATTGTATCATTTAAAAGGAAAAGAAAAGTGGGGGAAAAAAAGAATGAAAAATCTCCCATGTTTCTATCAGTCGGTGAAACTGAGTAATGTTTATTTTGGGTCATTTTTCCAGGAATCTGCATTTATAATTTAGGTTTAATTTACTTCCTGCGTTACTTTTAATATTATAGTATAAAATTTCACCTTACGATTGGAATTTTTAGGTTTTATAGCTGATTATTGTTGGCATGTAAGGAATCTATTGGCTTATTTATAATTAATTTTTTAATCTAACTTGTTAATATTTTAATAATTTGAAGTATCGTCCAGTTTTTATTTTTCCTCACTTGGGTTGTCTATTTAGACAGTTATTGTTTCCAAATTACTCTTTTCCTTCTCATTTCTATTATTTAAGTATTTTATTTCTCTGTCTAAAATTTTTAGAATAATGAGAAATACTTGAAGTAACAAGTATTTCTGATTTTAATAGAAATATCATTACTAACTTCACCATTATGAATAATAGAGATTTGCAGTGGATAGCCCTGTCACCTCAAGTGGTGTACTTCCATTTCGAGAAACAAGAAGTTTTTCTTTTTTTTCTCTCTCTATATTGGGAATATATGTAAACATTTAGGAATTGTTTTTTAGAAAATTTTCCTCTTTTAAAGCCAATTAATATACTATAATATAAAAGTAGATTTACTTTGTTTTTATATTTATTTATTTATTTATTTATTTATTTATTTATTTATTTATTTATTTATTTATTTATTTAATTTTTTATGGCTATACATTTTAACAATAAGGTATATATTTACACTGTGTATTCACCTTCTATAGTTAGATTTCTTTCTGTCACCACATATTGACCCCTTTTACCCAGTCTACTTCCCTCCTCCAACCTCCCCCTCACCCTATGGTAACCACTAGTGTATAGTCAATGCCCATGAGGCTCTGTTTGTTTGTCCTGTTCATTTGGTGCTTTTAGGTTTATATCCCACATATAAGTGATATCATGTGGTTTTTGACTTTTTCTGTCTGGCTTATTTCGCTTAGCATGATTATCTTGAGGTCTAGTCATGTGTCGCAAATGGCAGTATTTCATCTCTTATTATGGCTGAGTAATATTCCATTGTATATAAGTACCACAGCTTTCTTTAAAAAAAAAAAAAGTAGGTTAACTAATATTAAATCGTCCTCTCCTTCTTACAAAATCTATTATATAATGGTGGATTTCATTTATTGTATTTAAGATTTTTGCATACACATTACCAATGAGGGTAGTATAAAATAATTCCTTTTTTGTTGTTGTTACATTTTAATATTAAGATTTGCAAACTTGAAAAAATAAATTGGAAGGCTTTCCTTTTTTCTAAGCTAAGGAAATTTATGTTACATAATAATTATATTTACATTGATAGTTTAAAATAATTTGTATAAGTATATGAAATCTTACCATTTGCAATGACATGGATAGACCTAAAGGTTATCATGTTGAGTGAAATAAGTCAGAGAAAGATAAATACCATATGATTTCACTTATATGCAGAATCTAAGAAAAAAAGAACAAATTAATCAAAAACAGACTCATAAATATAGTGGACAATCTGGTGACAGAGGAGAGGGAGTTTGGGGGACTGGGAGAATGCGGTGAGGGGTTACAGCAGTACAAATTAGTAGTTGATCGATAGTCTATATTGGGAATATATGTAAAATGAGTCAATATATCTTTATGGAATAACTAAATGGGGATGGGGAGCATGGAATAGGGAATGCAGTTAGCATTAATATACTGGCTAGGTAGAGAGCCAGAGGAGAGAAAGAGCAATTAGGGGGATCGCTTTATGAACTATATAAATGTCAAACCA